TATCAAACAAAGTACAAATGTTGGAAAAACAAAATATCTATGGTTACGATAATTATGTTTCGTTATGGTTACGTTATGGTTATGGTTATGATTTTAGTACAAGACTATTTTTTTTACTTTTTATTATTGGTTCATTTTAGAAAGCTGATACAGTAATCCAATACAATTTATTAGTTATTAGTAAATAGATACGTTAATAGGTACACATAGACTTAAGTTTCATAGCGAACGTTCGACAGGTGTTCGTTAATACTTCGTAATTCGACCCCTTCAATAACCCTGTCTCAAGAGACACATTTACGTCATCTATCAGAGGGTTAAATATTGAATTATTATATTAATTTACTTAAGAGATCACCGCCAGTTAAATACATAAATGTAACCAGAAATTAGTACATAGAACCACAAGGGTAGAATTGTTTGTACTCGTAAGAGAATTGTGAGAGAAGAGAACGGCAAACTTGACGGTCCCACTTTAATGAAAGCCATCATAATGTTCACTATTTCATTTTATAATTATGAATCTATAAAAGCGATGAATTTGAAATTACTATATCTTAAAATACTTGTATTGAAATATGATTAAATTACGTTGTCGGTAAAACGATCGCAACGCTAGGGGCGCCAAAGCCTGGATTAAGGCTGGTTAGTGCGTTGTTCCTGGCGCCGCCGCGAGAAAATGCCAGCTAAAATGTAAATTATTTTTAATTTGATTTACGATGTTTATAAACATAAACCTCGTAATACATTAAATTGTTTTTAAGTTTTAAAATAGTAACATAAAAACATTTTAAAGTACCTTCTGGGCAAATAACAATGTGTCAATTAGACGGCGTAGAAATACGTTTTAGAAAGGCCTTTATGAGAATAAAGGAATTTGCTACTCAAAACCCTCTGTATCCGTGTAATGGAGTTTACCCATTACACGAAATAAAGAGCTAAGGAAGTATTACGTGTATCATTGTTAAAACAGCACTCAACCTTTAAGATCAAATTAAAATGCTTTTACAGTATCGACCTGCCATCTTTGCGAGGCACTACACAATATGTGTCGTACGTACGTACTACACTAGTGGTCGCACGCGACTCCGTCTGCGCGAAATTAAAAAAAAAAGCATAAGAACATAGTTTGGGAGAATACATAGGCTATGTATTCTTCCAAACTATGTTCCATCTGTATGCGAAATGTCACCGAGATATAATATGTTCAGCCGTTTTGGAGATACCTTCAAACAAAACTAATATAAGTAAGAAATAAAATAAGGTATGATCTTAAATTATCTTTAACCAAAATTAAACTGATCATAATAGGGTACAATTTTTTGTTATGTTTTGATCCGATTTCTTTGTTAGTATTCTATAATATAATAAAGATTTCTATGAACAAAATTGGCAAAACAAAGACGTCGAAATGTTGACGCGTCGGAATCCGTAGTGACAGCGGAATAACCTGTCCGCAATCTGACGAGTCAATTATCCCGCCCCCCCCCCCACTCATGGCGTCAATCAAGCGGCAACGAGCGGGATTGATGGAGTTATGCGTAATCTATGGTAAAGCCGGCTGATGCCTCCGTCTGCCGTCTGCCGTGTGCCGTGTGCCTGTTACATCGGCCCTGTATTCAGACCAATCGATAAATGATTAAAGGATTGTAAAATATAACTTCTCTATGGTTGTTGCAAGCGTAATATAATCTTATTTATTTTATAAATCCGAATTACGTGGACGGATGGATGGCTGAATGGATGTTTATTAGAAGGTATCACCGAAACAGCTCAACGGATTTTGATGAAATTTGGTACATAGTTTGAAATAACACATAGGCTACTTAGTAAGTTTTATTTATAATTCCGCGCGGACGGAGTCTTGGGCTATGTTATTATAGTTCATGATTTCGTACATTTTTGTTATGGTCTTTTACTTTTTGATGACAGTAGTATTTTGTTTTTACTTCTCTTACATTTACACAAATATCGTCTAATAAATCCATCAACTGTGTACATTGTATTTGAAATATTTTCCATCAATTAATCCAAACATCTAAGGGCATATCAAGAAAGTCATTAGATGTCAGCATGCGATGTGATGTCACATCCGGACAGCTCCCTATCGCGTCAGCATCGCACGTCGCGTCATCTGCCCCATGTTTACACTGCGAGATAAGCATGACCAATCTTATACCGCCCTCGTACAGGAAATGATTCCATCCTAGAATACAAAATGTACTAGAGTTGAGAATTTTCGCACAATACTTTTGTTAGACCATTACTTACACTCCCGGAAGTCTTTTTCGAAATTGTCGTAATTAAAAAAAATGTCATTTTGGTCTTAATTTTGTTAGCTTTCCTCCATAGATACTCAAATAGTAGAAGATATTTGTTTTACATATTGCATCTTAAAAACGACCTCTTTCTTAACTTTTTTTGACTTATTATGACCATAGTTACAAACATATAAACTTAGCTACTTAATTCATATTGATTGTTTAATAAGTGTACTACGGAAAACAACTCTTGTTATCTTAAATTTTATCTTTGTACGACTCTATGTATCTCCTATTCCAGCGCTGTAAGCCTCCCAGTGACCACCGCTGACATTATTCATTGAAAACTATTCCGCACTAAGCGATGTTTCGGGTAGTCTCCGGCCAAGCGAAGCGGCATTGTTTGTTCGGGGATCTTCGCTACAGACATTACAACGCATTCAAATGGAAACCTGTGGTTTTGCATTCTATATATTTATAACATCATATAAATAAGCATAATTTAGTAATCGTATTTTCAAATTAACACCAAAAAATTCAATGTAAAATCTGAATAGATAGATGTAAGTTGGTATAAATTGTTACATTTTCAACAAAGAAATCTGTTAGACAGCGTTGTATACAACTTTCTCGGACACCCTGTATATGGATCGTCCGAAAAATTAAATTCCAGGAGATTATTTCCAAATTGACATATTGTAAAACGAAAAGTATATTAGGACACCCTGTGACTAAGGTTATACACCAAATATAAATATGATTAAGGTCTATTTACCTACATTTATACAAAGTAATGTACATAAAACTCTATATAGAATATGATAAAAAATAAATAAATAGAAAATAATATATCTTTGTTTATTTCAGTACATATTCGCGATTATGGTCCCAATATTCTTAGATTATATAATACGAGCCGCCTGTTAGTGACATTTAATAAACCTGGGCGCGGGTTCCCTTCTGTTTACTGCCGCGTTACACTATAACTAAAGTTATTTATACGACACGTATTAAAGCCTTTCATAATAATTGACAACAGCATATAAGTTATCACGTAAAAAGACATAGTATACAGATTCCTGAAACATGACTAAACATATAAGTTTTTCATTATTGATTTTTTTTTAATAAATGAATAAAATAACACTTAATCCTTTCCACCATTATATAACAATTAAAAAAGGGGTCTTTACAGACAGACGGACGGACAACAAAGTGATCCTATAAGAGTTCCATTTTTATCCTTTCGACGTACGGAACCCTTAAAATAATTATAAAGACTTAAAACAGAAGGACATTACAATTACATAAGAAAAAGGAAATATTTACAACGAGCATTGCAAATGATCGGATAGATTTACTCACTTAGCTTTGTACCATCGGTTCGTAACAAGTTTCTAGACATTTGTAAATGATACATCTTACTAATATTATAAATGCAAAGTTTAGATGGACGAATATTACGAGGTATCTCCAGAACGACTGCAAGGATCTCGCTGAAATTTGGCAGACATTTAGAACATAGTCTGGAAGAACACATAGGCTGCTAATTGCATTTTTTTTAATTGCGCTCAGATGGCAACGCGGTACTCAGCTAGTTTTTAATAAACAAATCATTAAGCCAATTTTAAATTGGAACTAATTTTAATAAAAATAATTTTATAATTCTACAGTGAGTTAGTCTTAAGTGTCAAGATGCATATCAATTTGGTTTAATTTAAAAAAGCTATTCAGTTTAAATTGTGTTTGCATTTTCTCGTTTTAATTTACGTAAGGAAATCTTAACTATGAAATGAGTGGGTTAAAGTTTTCTCGACGCAGTTCAGTGTAGCAGCGGGCGGCTCGCATTAGTTTGGAATTAAGCGAACCTGCCGCTGCAATTATCGCGCTAATTAAATCAACGCTATGTTATGACTAATTTATCCGATAGAAAGGTTTGCTCTTGACAAAATCGAAGGCATTAAAATGTTACATTTTATTACTTAATATTTTTTATTCTTTTACTTAAAATACAATTTAATATAGAGAAAAATTTTGCATAATAATACAAAACTACTTATTGCTTAATCTGCTTACGTAAATACAAATGTTCCAAACTGCTTGGACTTCAAGTTCAAATCGCAGAGGAATTTCTATTCTATTCTTCTTGGCAGTCGTATAACTATTTCTATAGGGCCAATTTTTCTCGCAATAAACCTTATTTTATTTAAAATAAGTCACATCATTCTCACGGCATTTAATGATGATTGTGAAATAAACCGTAAAAGTGAAAAATAAAACCATTTCGCGAAGCAGCATTTTAGTGCAATATAACAACGATGACGTCTGTATGCTGTACCTATTCTAATTGGTGGCAATGTTCTTCCGCGTGCAACCGTGACGTCGTCTGATTGCCAGCGACCGGCTAACGTGGCGACGAGTGACGTCACAAGTATTTTGTTTTCGAACGCTTAATACGTCACGTAGAAAATTATTTTAAACACCATTGCACTGAACGAAATTTCTATGCAATATTTTTAGATGTCAAAACATATCAGAAATTTAAATCACATGAGAATATAAGATTAATCTTTGTATCAATACGTTAAATAAAATGCAAAGAAATTATTATATGCAAAATATTTAAAACGTGTAAAACACACTTATTTGACTTTCATGCATAATGATATACGTAACAATATAAATGTATTTATGTCCAATGGTATATATAAAATTTTGAAAAAAATTTTTAGTACTTACGTTTTTCTCCTTATCCTTGTTAATAACCTTGTACTTATAAAACTAATTTCCACTTTAATACAAAACACAGTATACATAATCTTTAAACTTTAACTTTACGTAAAAATGTGACATATTTAATCAAGATGAAAATTTATAAAGAAAAAATGTAGGTACAAGCAAAGTTTAATTTTAAATCGATTACTCGACATCGACTCGATTACACTCGTAGAGGTGAACTCGAACATTAATCGAATTTGATGTTCGTCGGGCGAACGATCAAGAGTACGTTAGTTCACATTACGGTGCTCTTGAGTTTCACTTGATACTTGCAACTCGATTGCTCGGTAACTCGGTATCTCGGTATCGATACTAACATCGACTCGAGATGTCTAACACGAGTGAGTGCAGCTTGTCAAGCACATACAAATGTTACACGCTGGATTGAAGGATGAATTCGACACTTCATTCTCGGCGTATGCATCTCGACCACGATTTAATGACGACTCAAATGGACGCATTACTTTGGTTCTATTATTGTTTGTTTATACTAAGGAGTAGAATTAGGTTAGGTTTATTAATTAATTTGCAATTTACAGCATTATTTAGATTTTTGTTATGTTCATAATTTAGTTGAAAGAGTGGGCTTGTTTTCTCTTTTTCCTTAATTGTTCAGTTCATAATATTCTTGTCACTTAACCGTATTAATACTTACCAGTTTCTTATGTGTTGTAATCAATATAAAATTCTCAGTTTACCATTCGCTTTAAATAAATATTTTAAAAGCGTTTAATGTGTCGAAAACGATGTCCATTAGCGGGGTTAAAGTCCTTTGTCTCGGCCATTATTCGGCCCTCTGTAACACCTCTCGCCCATACAACCCTGTCGTATCGGATGTTCGTTAAAAAACTTAATTTTTTTTATAACAATGACCGTTGAATTTTAATAGATGCCTACATTTTTAAGTAACAATTAACAAATACTGATGTCTAAATTTGAAAAAAAAATGCTTAAATTATAAAACATAAATTCGTTTCGTATTTAAGAGATCATTTTCGAGTGTCAGTTTTTGGAAGTATGTAAATATTATACAAAAATTAAAATATAGTGTTGCTACTTAAACAGAAATCAAATTATGTCCTTTTCTAAGAAAAAATAAAAAAATAATGTAGTTTTAAATAAGTTACAACTACCGTAGTATCTGGATGTTTTAATGACTATAATTTAATTGTTAAATAGCGAGTGAGCCACAAAAGTTGCTTTATTTGGTAAGTGTCCTTTGAAAACGAAGCTAACTGGAGATCAAATTACTCCCTTAGGTCCGAAGGTGTGTCCGAGGATAATATTTAAACGCTAACGACGTTCACTTTCCAACCCTTTCACTTAAAGCGAATTTTTTAAGCCGTTAGTGAGTTGAGAAGCACCCCCATTAGGGAGTTTATTTTCCTTTTATCTCATCCATTACTCGGCCTGTCTGCAACATCTTTGCCGGTACGAATCTGTCACGTTGGATGGACATTTTGTGACGAGGTCTTATGTAAGGCTCTGGTAATTGCATTGGACTTTTCTACAACTTTCTATGTTGCTTTGGGACGGAAACTTTCTTAATTGTAGTAGTATTTCTGCATATTTTTTACTCAATAATATTAGACCATGCATTAATGTTATTCTACTATCCTGAACTGACTATTTAATCATAATTACTGTGTACTAAAGGCACAGTAATGAAAGGTACGCATCTATTGGCCCGCATTTTATTTTGCTTTGTATGATTATTCATAGCGCTGCGTTCATCATCCGCGCCGTCCGCATCGCATCAAGACTTCAAATCCGTTTAATGCAAAAGATTTGTATACGAAACATTACATTTCGAAAAAAAAAACTTTAACCGTTATTTTACATTTTAATGTATTATGTATTCTATTTTAATTCAAATTTATTCTAACTCTAAAAACCCTGTATATTTAGAATGTATTTATTCTAAACAAGCGCATGTCGTTCAGTCCCGTACTGACCGGGCAGTGCAAATTACGATA